GGTATACCTCGTCTACCGAGCCGAACATGTAACCCTGGTGCGACGTGTAATTGAGGAGGCTGTTGGAGCACGACCATAGTCATCAGGCAGAGAAATGTCCTGTTTTTCCAGGAGGCGGGTCTCCTTTTTGGGTTATCGGCTTGTCCGCGTCAGGGTGAGTAATGGAGGTGGATCGTGTGTCCGCTTTGCGTAATTGGGCACTCCACCCACTGTAAAAGAGGTGCAGCAGTTTTTCTGCTTTGCGAATTACTTACCGGATGTTTATCCGGGGTTTTGGAACGGTGCAGCTCCCAGCACGTCCTCCTCTGAAGGGGGGGTCCGGGTGCGTCTGCAGGGGTCCGTCTGATTGCGACAGGGCCCTTTGGGATACTGAGGAACCTGTTTACGTCGGCGCCGGTGCTGGCGCATCCGGATCCAACGATTCCCTTTCAGGTTGAGGTGGACGCGTTCTGAGGATGGTATAGGGGCCGTGGCTCTCTCAACGGTTTTCCCGCTCGCCACCTAAACTCCGCCCTGTGCTTTTTTACTCAAAAGCTCAGCCCTGTTCGGGCGTATATGACGTTTGGGGACAGGAGCTGTTAGCTGTAGTTCAGCCCTTAAGGTGTGGAGGCATTGGGTCTTGAGGGGCTCAACACCCTTTCCCCTTCCTCATTTTTGACTGACCATCGGACCTGGAGTACATCAGGGCAGCGAGGAGACGAACCCTGCGCCAGCTCGATGGATAATTTTTCTCCACCAGTTTTGTATTTAAATCACGTCTCCCGGTTCCCGAAGTGGCAAGGCAGATGCACTGTCCCCGCGGTATGACACTGAGGAGAAGGTCCTGTTAGCCTCCTCCCATACTACCCGGAGTCCTTGCCTTGTGGGCAACCGGTGGTGTGGGAGGTCGATGCCCGAGATCGATCGAGCGTTGCGTACCGCCCATCCCTCCACAAATGTCCTGAGGGTGGAAGTAACGTTCCGCTCGAGATTCGGGATCGCTCATCTACTGGGGCTCACACGTCCACTCTCCTCTGGACATCCGGGTATTGCCGACAGTGCATTGCCTTAGCACTACATACTGTGGCCTACTTTTGGGCTAGGGATGTAGGGTTTACGGTCTCCTCCTGCTCGGTGTGCGCCCAGTGTCAGGCGCCCGACATTCTGCCAGGGGTGTTACATCCCCTACCCTTCCCCAACGACCATGTTCCCACCTCTCGGTGGATTTTGTAACAACCTTCCTCCTCAGGGGAATACCCCCATCCTGGTTCCGTTGTGGACCGTTCTCTAGGCCTGCTGTCGTCTTCTCCCTTTTCGGGTCGTCCTCTGCCCACATACCCGCTAGGCCTATTACCCACGTCCTCCTGCATTACGGGGTCCCCAGATAAGTGTCTTATCGCGGCCCCCGTTTACCTCCCATGTGTGGAGAGCGTTTATGGAATCGTTGGGGTCTCGGTTGCCTTACCTCGTTACCACCCACCGCACCCGGAGAGACAGCAGGGGGAACGTGTCAAACCAGGAGTGGGTAGGTTTCTGAGGTCGTCTTGCCAGGACCGGCCCGAGGAGTGGCGCCGTTACATTCCCTGGGCCGAGATGGCCCTAACCCTCTCCGCCACTCCTCTACGAACCCTACCCTCTTTTTCAATGTGTATTAGGTTACCAGCCGGTTCTGGCACGTGGCACAAGCCAGATCGAGCCCCTGCGGTGATGATTGGATGAGGGCTCGGAAAGATAGTGGAATCGCTGCCCACGGCCACCGCATGCGTGCCGTCCTTTCGTCACAAGGCGAGCGCCGATCTCCACCGCGTAGGGGCCGGTGTACGCACCCGGAGATCGAGTCTGGCTCTCTACAGGAACCTACCCCTCCCCTGCCTGCCGGAAAGCTGGGTCGGCGGTTTGCTGGGGCCTTTAAAGTCCCTGAGAAGGTTGGGGAAAAAACGAGGTTGTTTATAGTTACATTACCTTTTGAATATAATAATATTAACCCCTCGGTCCCGTGTCTCTTCTCAGGCCGGTGGTACTGGTCCACTCCAGGACAATGAGATAGGATAGACTCCGTCCGCCCCCATTGACTCGAGGGGGCTGCGGCGTACACCGTTCGGTCCATCTTGGACTCCATGAACTGACCGATGGTGGTCCTTCCAGTATCTCGTGGAGTGGGAGGGGTCGGCCCGGAGGAGCGGTGCTGGGTGCCACGCGGAGGACATCCTAGACCCCTCTCTCCTGTCGGATTTCCACCGGACCATCCTCGCGCCCTGCTCGCGTCCTCCTGGTCGTCCCCGAGGCCGGGGTCGGCGCACGCTGGAGCCGGCGCGTCAGGGGTGTCCTGTCACGTTTTCGCGAGGCTGGCGCCTCTCCTGGTTCGGGCAGGCTTCGGCGGTCGTCGTCTCCTGTACTAGCTGCCACCGATCTATGTTCATGTTCGTTTGGTTTTGGTTTCTAGATGTTGACACCTGTGTCTATTAGTCCTCGTTAGTGTTCTAATTTAGTTCCTCGTTGTGTGTGTCCTTTGTTTGTGTGTTAATTGGTTTTCGCTGTCGTGTTTTTGTGCGCTACCTCTGTTTTGCCTTGTGCATTTCATATTATTTTCCTCTCTGTGTTCGGAGGTTATTTACGCACTGTTTTTGTGCGCCGTTTGGTTTTCGCCTGTGTGCGGAACTTTCCGCCGCCGGTCGGTTGACCTCGTGAATTTGAGTGTGCTGTTCACTAAAGTCTATTGGACTTTATTTTCTGCTGGCGTCCTGCAATCTGATTCCTGCACCACACCCACCTACAGCACCCAATGACAACAGTGCATGTCGGGCAAAAACCAAGCCATGGGGCGAAGGAATTGTACCAAAAAAAGTCTGCAGTTTGAAGTCCCCAAGAACACAGTGGCCTCCATCATTCTTAAATGGAAGAAGTTTGGAACCCCCAAAAACCTTCCTAGAGCTGGCCGCCCGGCCAACTGAGCAATCGGGGGGGAAAGGGGCCCTTGGTCAGGGGGCCCAAGAACCAAGGTCACTCTGACAGAGCTCTAATTCCTCTGTGAGATGGGAACCTTCCAAAAGGATAACCATCTCGCACACTCCCCCAAATCAGGGCCTTTTATGGTAAGTGGCCAGACCAAGCTATCCTAGAAAAAAGGCAAATGACACCCCTTTGGTTTTTGCCAAAAGGCCCAAAAGGACCCCAGAGAAACCAAGATTTTCTGGTCTGAGGGAAACCCAAATATTGAACTTTCCCTGAATCCAAGCGTCACCCCGGATGGGAAAACTGGACCATCCCTAGGGGTGAAGCATGTGGTGCAAGGCATCTGCGGGTGGGAATGTTTTTCAGCAGCAGGGATTTGGGAGACTAGTCAGGTCGAGGTAAAGATGAACGGAGCAGAGAGATCCTTGATGAAAACCTGCTCGAGAGCGCTCGGCCCTCAGACTGGGGCGAAGGTTCACCTTCCAACAGGATAACGACCCTAAGAACACAGCCAAGACAACGCAGGAGTGGCTTCGGGACATCCTCTGAATGAGTGGCCAGCCAGAGCCCGGACTTGAACCCGATCCAACATCTCTGGAGAGACCTTAAATAGCTGTGGCAGCAACACTCCCAATCCAACCTGACAGAGCTTGAGAGGATCTGCAGAGAGTGGGGGGAAACTCCCCAAATACAGGTTGTGCCAAGCTTATAGCATCATACCCAAGAAGACTCAAGGCTGTAATCGCTGCCAAATGTGCTTCAACAAAGTACTGATAAAGGGTTCTGAAATACTTATGTAAATGTGATATTTCAGTTTTTTTTTTTGATAATAAATGTGCAAAAATTCTTTAAAAAACCCGTTTTTTTAATCCATTTTAGAATAAGGCTGTAACCTAACAAATGTGGAAATAGTCAAGGGGTTTGAATTATTTCCGAAGGCACTGTTATTATTAAAACCCTGTGGTATTTTCCACTGTAATTGACTTCAATCCTGCTAGAATCCCAGGCCTCCCAGAAAACAGAAAAAAAAATCTAAAGAAACCACAAAAACTGTGTTGGGATTCTAATTGTGTTACAAACGTGACATAACTGAAGTGTGCTGTAGACAGCCCTTTTATAAAACGTTATAACCCTACTAAAATACGCCTCAAAAAATTCACTCAAATTACCAAGGTCACACATTTAGTGTATCATGTAAAGAAATTATAAAAAAGTGGTAAACTACCCTTCCCCTCACACTTCTAGCCAGTCTGTGTGAGACAGACAGAGAGCGAGTGAAGCCGTGAACGATCCCCTCTCTGGGTCAGGGCAGTAGCGGGACTCTTATAAAGGACAGAAAATGTGCAAGGGAAGCTTCGGAGATCAAATCTGATAGAGAACCAT